TGGATGAAGTGCCTCTCTTCTTTTCCTCCAGACTCTGGGACCTTGATTTCCAAAGGAAATGCAAAATTTACTTTCATCAGAGAACATGACTTTGGACCAGTCCTTTTTGTCTTTAGCCCAGACGAGACACTTCTGATGCTGTCTGACTTGACACCAGGAAACCCAGCTGAAACCATGTCTTTCATACGTCTGTGTGTGGTGGTTCTTGAAGCACTCACTCCAGCTGCAGTCCACTCTTTGTGAATCTGCCCCACATTTTTGAATGGGTTTTGTTTCACAGTCCTCTCCAGGGTGMGGTTATCTCTGTTACTTGTAAACTTTTTTCTACCACATCTTTTCCTTCCCTTCACCTCTCTGTTGGACACAGAGCTGTGTGAACAGCCAGCCTCTTTAGCAAGGACCTTTTGTGTCTTGTCCTCCTTGTTCAAGCTGTCAATGGTCGTCTTTTAAACTGTCAAGTCAGCAGTTTTCACCATGATTGTGTCGCCTACAGAACTAGACTGAAAGACCATTTAAAGGCCTTTGCAGGTGTTTGAGTTAATTAGCTGATTAGAGTGTGGTACCAGGTGTCTTCAATATTGAACCTTTTCACAATATTCTAATTTTCTGAGATGCTGAAATTGGGGTTTTCATTAGTTGTAAGTTATAATGATCAAAATTAAATAAATACCATTTGAAATACATCAGTCTGTGTGTAATGAATGAATTTAATTTACAAATTTCACTTTTTTGAATGGAATTACAGAAATAAACCAACTTTTTCATGATATTCAAATTTTTTTGACCAGCACCTGTACATTAAAAACTTCACACAAGGACTCTGGGAGGAACAGAAAACCACAACTGAATACACAGAGCACATTTCAAGACTGACAAGACAAGGGAGGACTAATTAACCCAAATCAACAAAATCTGTGAGGTGGAAAACCTGGAACAGGTGAGAGTGGGAGGGGCTGAGGAAAAACACAGAGGAGCAGGTGAAACAAAGACACAAGGAAACATGAACACAGAAGGAAAAAATAAATATATGGATAAACACCAAACCAAACAACACATCAAGATTGAAACACAGATTGCTGAATGACTGCCAAACGAAATTTTTAAAACTAAAGGAAGCAGATTACTGTGCTAGGGCAAAGAAGCAAGTAGCTAAACATAACAAAAGGCTAACTAAACTCATGGTAGATGTCAGATAAGTCCTTGTTTTTGAAGGCATTGAAAAAAGTTGATTGTATTGATGTTGGTATTTGTAAATTACCGTAGGTTAAATATTTATTTGGAAAAATTTTTTTAAAATGAAAAGTCATAGCAGCTACCTCCTGAATGAGCCAAAGCTGTTAATATTTGAACTGATAAAGTAGCAGAAAATAAGCAGAATTAGTTTGCTTGTAAAAATATACAGTCAAATTATGAACAGAAAACAATGTGAATGCTGAGTCAGCATCTGAAGGTTGAGTCAAATTATTGGAGACCACAGAGGACACTCAGATGACTCAGGTGACTGTTTCAGTGGACAAATATGCTGTCCAGTTTAGTAAAGATGGACACGAGATGTGAGACTGGACCAGCTGAACAGTGAAGAGCTGGATCAGAGAAGCAGAGGCACAGAGACAGGGCAGGTTGTTCTCTGTGTTTCCTGCTGTTGCAATAAAACTCAGCTGATCATCTAACGGAGTACCTTCATTCTTGGACCATGTATTTCTATCTTTGTTAAATAAATATTAACGTAACAATGATAATTTAAAACCATTAAGTAGAATAAGATCTGACTTGTTACATTTCAATTAGTATAACGATTGTTTGTCTCCTGCAGTTGATGCAGCACTACAAGGTGGAGCCTGAGCACGGAGCTCCAGTCGTTCAGCCTAAAACCAGAACTCTGCTCATCCCGGGGACACCCATCAACCTGCGTTTCCTGTCCAGAGCCTGAAGAGGGCAGCACTGAGGGTCAGAGGTCAAACCCATCCTTCCTGTGGAGTCCTGTTAAATTCACCTAAAACCTGAATTGAGCTGAAGATAAGAGTGAACTAAACTCTGCACGGTCACTTAAATCTTTTTAATTTTTATTTAAAACAACAACAAAAACTTAAGAGGGAGGAGATGAGAAACGGCACAGAGGTAATAAATCAGGAACTAAATCAGACACCCAAAAGAAGACAATGAAAAGATTGTTTTGTTTTGATGAAGGTAAAGATTCACATCATACTTCAGAGCTTAGTCTTTGATAAAAAACAGTTTTATGCAACATTTAAACAGAATCAGTCTTTATTTCAATGTAAAGAGAAGATTACTTACTAGATTGTCCTTTTTTCATGTACAGAGCCCTGAGACAACGTATGTTATGACTTGGCGCTATATAAATACAGTAAACTGAACTGAATTGAATTACAGTTAGAGCTAAATAAATGTAACAATGGATATGTTTTTCATTATTTCTTTTTTAGAGTAAATAAAAACTGAAATGCTTGTTGCAAAGGGTTTCTTGTCTGCATGACTCAACTGTAGATCTTATTCAGGATAATGAACTTTATTTAGAAAACAGGGATTTAAAAACTACAATGTTTTGCAATCAAGATGATGTACTAAATAACAGAATCAACTTGAAAATTGTGAAAAAAAAAACATTTTTTCGTTGTTTTAAAAACAACCCTTACTTTAAATCCTTGATCTGTCAAAAAAGTTAAATAAGTCTTTAAATCATATGCCAGTTTAATGTGCTGTATTGTTCAATAAGTGTAAGGGTTGTGTGCAGAATGACCCAGGGCGCAGGCAGAAATCCAAAAAGTAACAAAAAGTCTTTATTAAACAGCTCAAAGCACTCACAAGATCTCAGGGAGCAAGCATGAAGAACACGGAGACAACGAACTGACTGGGGAACAAGCACAATGAACGGACAAACACTGAAGACAGGAAAGGCAAACTAATGAAGGACAACAAGAAACACCTGGAGGAGACACAAGAGGAAACAGGTGAGCATGAGCGGGGCTGGAGCAGGGCAGAGATACACAGGGGAACACTGAAACACTAGAAAACTAAAGCAAAGACACACAGATCATGACAATAGGTCTAAACCTGACTGTGGACCTAAGCAAAGACTGTGAAGCAAATAAAACACCAAACTTTTTTAACTTGGGTGATCCTCTTCATTTGAAGCTCAGGTTATCAGAGGCCTGGGAGAAGGAGAGTTCTGTTCAGTATCTTAGCTGTTCCTGGGTCTGAGCTCTTCCAGTCAACATTTACTTGTGGGGCCCATATAGGTTGGAAATGGGCTGAAAAATGGGCCCCATATAGGATTGTCCACGGGTTCCAAGCTGGCCCCATGTTAAATGCCCATACGGGTGTTGTGTTGGGAAACTGGGCACTAAATGGGCCCCAACTGGGCAAAGTACACACAAACCCATTCAGGCCCCGGCTTTCAAATTCTTAATGGGTACCATGTGGGTACAACATGGGCTAGAATGTGGGTTGCAGGTGGGATTGTCCACGGGTTCCATAATGGCCCCGTGTTAAATGCCCATTCAGGTTCTGGGTTCTGTAGTTGCTCCTTGACACGCATATTTTGAATTGGCTAATGTTTGGCACTGGGTGTGGCCCATTTGAGAAAAAAACAATCTACAAAATTTATTTGAGTATCATCTTTTTTGTTTAAATTTGAGAATGTCCATGGGTCATATTTTTGTCCCCTATCCTTTGTAGTATCAGTGTACTGACCGTCGTGAACATTCAAACCAAACCCAGATGTTTTGTTAATCTATCGAAAATGAGACCCACATAGCCCATAGATATATCCTGCATTAAGCCTTTATCAGCATTAAGATTAGCCAATAGGGGTTCCATTGACTCACCGACACCAAAGCAGACTGGGAAAAAAATAACTTTTGTAGAGACATTACAAAAATTGAATGCAAACAAAACACTTTTCCACATTTATTTTTTCAGACAATAAATGTGATTCAACGGCATTGTCATTTAACTGTGTGAACATTTGAAAAGCAAAGTCTGACTGCATTCATGTTCCTTTTCAACACTAGAAACGGGGAATAGTCAGTTCAGCAGTGTTTCTTTTAAAGATCCGTTTGTCTATTTTGTAACCTTGCAGCTCTCGGTCCTCCTCTGTCTCCAGCTCCAGTGAACCACTTGGACAGGGCCTTCTCTGCTTCTTGCAGGTTGACCTTTACGTCAAGGCATTCATCTTCAGTGCCTCTGCAAAAAAAGAACAAAACAATGTAAGCCAAATAGTCAAGTAAACCCTAGCTTACTTCTTTGCCATGCTTTTGTTTGTGTTTTTGCCATTCCAATTGATCTTGCCAAATAAAGGTAGTTCTCTGCAATCAAACACATGCTTTTGAAATAACAGGGTTTCTGCAGAAATAAGCCAACCAAATTTAATGATTTTTAAAGCCATTTCAAAAAGGTTTTATTGCCTTTAGGTGGGGTGAAAAGTATTTAGTCACCAATTGTGCAAGTTCTCCCACTTAAAGAGTAACTTCCCCCAAAATTAACTTTTTTTAGCTGATAAACGGTCTAGAATGTGTCTAAAATGTTATAGAGTACTGTTTCTGTGCTAATTTTGATGTTTTTGTGCGTATTTGTTCAAATCTGTAATATTTGGTCTAAAAACATCTTTTTGCTGCTCATATGGGTAGAGCAGTGGTACTGCAGGCTAATTTCCTACTTAAAGGCACAGTGTGTAGGAT